GCAGAGGCAGGTGGATCTCTGAGTCTAAGGACAGTCTGGTCTATAGAGTGAATTCCAGGACAGTCAGGGTCACACAGAAACCCTATCTCAAAAAACCAAAATAAAGTGTGTGTGTGTGTGTGTGTGTGTGTGTGTGTATGTGTGTGTGTGTGTGTGTTCTTATTAGCAATTCCATCAAAGAATATACCTAGAGAAATATATTTAACCTATGCAAAAAGAAGAAAAAAAGACACTCTCTGAACTGTAATACACCAAAACAAAAGGCTGTCAATAAAGAGAACATAAATGTCCAAGTTGACAAACCATAAAATTTGGAAGGGGATTGGACAGGGTGTGCTGCTGAGTCGTCTCACACAGCCTCAGGTTGGTGGTGCTGGTTGAGGGTTTAGGAGGTCTGGCCTTGTGGGAGGAGGTGAGCTTTCAGAGTTTAAAGACTGCAGCCATTTCAAGTTAGACCTCTGTTTCATGCTTCCGATTCCAGATGTGAGTACTCAATTTCCTGCTCCTGCAGCCAGGACCTGCTCTTCCATCAATGACTCTAACCCTCCAGAACTTTAAGTCCACATAAACGCTTCGAAAAGTTGTCTTGGTTATGATGCTTTATCACACCAATAGAAAAGTAACTAATACATAGGGGAAGGAAAGGGAAGGGGAATAAGAAAAGGTATTATGGGGACACAGGACAAAAATGCCGTATTACATCTGGAATCTAATTTTTGTTACTGTTTTTTGAGACAGGGTCTCATTATGTGGCCTTGGCTGGCCTAGAACTGCCTATATAGAACATGCTGACCTGAGAATCACAGACATCCGCCTGGCTCTTGAGGCGCCAGGAATCTATATGAAATCTAGATTTTTATCCATATACTTATATATGATATAAAAGTAGAATGGGAGCTACATGAAAGGAGGAAGGGACAAGTTAGAAGAGGCTTAAGAGAGGGTAACTGGGGGTGGCAGTGGTAGTGTCTGAGCAGAGCACAATGACACATATGTATGAAAATGTAACTATGAAATCTATAATTTGTATGCTAAGAAAAAGCTTAAAACCCAAACATTCTTCATCTAAAAAACAAATTGCAAACTATGTATAAAATATTTTATTTAATATAAAGCTAAATGTAAAATATGTATAAAGAAATATAAAGTAACCACATTATAAACATGAGTATTCTCTATGATTCCCCATTTGTAATATATTAGTCACTAGTTTAGAAATAAAGCTATTACACACGAATAGATTCAAGATTAAAACAATGCAAGGAACATCCTTGTGAGGGCACAAAGTACAGAAACTAATCTAAAAAATTTGAGGCCTTATTTTCCATGAAAACTGAACTCATGAATTTATTTATTTATAAGAATTTATAAATAAATAAACAACAACAGAGAGGGAGAACAAGGAATAGGAGACCATGGTAAATGAAGACCACATGAGAATAGGAAGAAGCAAAGTGCTAGAGAGGCCCACAGAAATCCACAAAGATACCCCCACAACAGACTGCTGGCAATGGTCGAGAGACAGCCCGAACTGACCTACTCTGGTGATGGGATGGCCAAACACCCTAATTGTCATGCTAGAAACCCCATCCAACTACTGAGGGATCTGTATGCAGAGATCCATGGCTAGGCCCCGGGTGGATCTCTGGGAGTCCAATTAGCGAGAATGAGGAGGGTTTATATGAGCGAGAATTGTTGAGACCAAGGTTGGATAAAGCACAGGGACAAATAGTCAAATGAATGGAAACACATGAACTATGAACCAATGGCTGAGGGGTCACCAACTGGATCAGGCCCTCTGAATGGGTGTGACAGTTGATTGGCTTGATCTGTTTGGGAGGCACCCAAGCAGTGGGACCAGGTCCTGTGCTCATTACATGAGTTGGCTGTTTGAAACCTGGGGCCTATGCAGGGTTGCTTGGCTCGGCCTGGGAGGAGGGGACTGGACCTGCCTGGACTGAGTCTACCAGGTTGATCTCAGTCCTCGGGGGAGGCTTTGCCCTGGAGGAGGTGAGAATGGGAGGTGGGCTGGGGGGAAGGTGAGGGGGGCCAGAGGGGGGAGAACAAGGGAATCCGTGGCTGATATGTAGAACTGAATTGTACTGCAAAATAAAAAAAATTAAAATTAAAATTAAAAAAAAAAAGAATTTAAATGGAAAGACAAAATCCAAAAGAATGTACCATTATAGTAAAGTCTTACTATAAAGTCAAAGTGATATTGTGAGTAATGTAAATTTATGGGACTGACCAGTTACATGTGGACATGTAACTTAACTTACAAGTTACTTAAGAAATAAAAGAATTTGCCAGGTGGTGGTGGCGCACGCCTTTAATCCCAGCACTCGGGAGGCAGAGGCAGGCGGATCTCTGTGAGTTCCAGTCTGGTCTACAAAGCGAGATCCAGGAAAGGCGCAAAACTACATAGAGAAACCCTGCCTCGAAAAACAAAAAACAAAAAACAAACAAACAAAAAAAGAAATAAAAGAATTCATGTTCGACACAGGACATAACAGCATTTGTAAAAAGAGGGTTTAGTACATAAATAGCAAAGAGCAGCATAAGAAACAAATTCTGATTTATTTGTTTACCTACTTATTTAAATTTTACTTCATTTATTTGGGAGACAGGGTCTCATGTAGATCAGGGGGGTCACAAACACACCATGAAGGAGAGGATGACTTTGAACTTCCTGATCTTTTTGCCTCTGAGATTAAGAGTGTTTTTTGTTGTTGTTTTTATGTGGTGCTAGACTCAAACCCAGGGCTTAATGCGTGCTAGGGAAAAGCACTCTACCATCTGAGCTATGTCCCTCAAGTTCTGCAACACTTAAACTCCAACCAGGCAATGGTTTCCAGGCTTCAGATCATGGACCAAATGTGGGGCAGGGTAAGTTGTCCAAACGTTTGTCTTGGGGGCTGATGAAACAGTGCAGTGTTAGGCCAAGCCTGGTAGCCCGTGTTTAATCCCCAGAACCAACATGGTGGAAGGAAAGAGCCAACTTCAGCAAGTTGTCCTCCGACCTCCACATGTGCATGCCCTGGCCCCACCAGAACAAATGAGCATTAAAAAGAAATTTTCAGTTTTGTATATGCAGCAAAGCAGACAGAAAGCCAACATTTAGGCAAATATTCTCCTTAAAGCATACACAAAACTATATCCGTATATAACATGGAATAAATTTAAAAAAAACTGAGTCTTTTGATCGCTTGTGGGTTTTTTTTTTTGGGGGGGGGAGTAGAAACACAAACTATGTAGCCCAGGTTGGCCTCCAATTTTTGACTCTCCTGCCTTGCCTCCTGAGTGCTGAAATTATATACCTGGCTCAAAAGTGACAGTTATGTTTATAGAGCCACTGGACAGTATTGTTGTTGGCTTTTAAACACAGGCAATAGGACTGACATTAAGACTGAAAAAAATTGAAAAATGAAGAAGAAAACCATCAGTTTTGGAATACAAAATAGTAGCAGTAATAGGACAAGTATTGTAAAGCATTGGCTACACTGGAAGTCAGGAACAAGGACTGAAAGGTGGGTTACTTTGCCACCACCCCTTTTTTGTTGAGGATGAAGTTTTCTGGCAAAATCTTTTCTATAACCTCTCCTTCTGCATAACAAAGCTGTGAATCACACAGTAAATTCTTGGCATTAACTCGGTGTGTGTGTGTGTGTGTGTGTGTGTGTGTGTGTGTGTGCTTAGAGTTGTTACTACCCCCAACACTGAGCTGCTCAGCAAATGGCTTGCTAGACCACAAACTAACCTCTGTGGAGGGCCCCATGGCAACACCCACACACTTTGCTGCTCAGTGCCAGGGCCCCCCCAATGCTCCGAGGGCTTATTTGCAACTCCAAATGCTCTGCCAGTTTCTCTTGGCTCCAGAGACAGCTTCACCTGCAGGGTTTCATTTTTCTGCTTGACACCTCCGTGTTGATTTTCCTATGCACTACAAAAGAGTCCTCTCCAATGCTTCTCACACAATTACACAATCACTCCATTGTAACTCAGGAGAGGATTAATGATTGGGTTTTATTTGATTGTAGTTTTGATTAATCCTGACTGTTTAATTTGTGACCTTTGCTGGAATCCCAAGGGCTGGGAATCAGAACATACACACTGTACCACTGTACTTGGAGCAGTTTGAGCTTGCCAATTTATTTCATGCCTCATTAGCCACAAAAGCTATGAAATTTTAGTCCAAAAACAGCTCCACGTTTGTTTTCAGAGTTTGGGTACAGAATCTTGTAGGACTTTTCATTTTTATTTAGATATGGTAAGCTAATAATTAGTCCATCCTGGTTATGCTCCAAAAGCTCTAATTCCAACTGGCAGGTATCTTAGTAAAACACCAAATCCAAGCAAGTCACATCACCATGTGGCTGCCCTAGGTTCCCAGGGCACAGAATCAGTTTTTGTGAAGGGGGGGTGGGAATGTATGTGGGGGAAATCTAAGGTTTTGTTTTGTGTTTTATTTTCACACACATTACAACATCCTGTGGCAAATGTTTCTTTGGAATCATAACCAAATCTGTATCAATAAATTCAATCTATCACATCAAAGAAAGAGTGCTATAATTTTTAATTATTTACTATCTGAGAATCAAGTCTGACATTTCCGTGAATAATTCATAATATCCATATGCTTTATAAGTCTTTCATTTTAAGCGATTACAGAATCAACAAACTATGAGACTCTTTTCATGCAAAAGAAACTCTTTTACATGATAATGCAAATTGACTAGCTGATTAATAACTTCACTACAAAGTCAAAAATACAGGAGTGTGCGCTGCTTTGCTATCTTTAGAGTTGGTGTGGTCCACATCACACTGTCACATCCAGTGACTCAAGCTCATTGTTTTTTGTTTTTTTACCATATCTTTTATAGATCTATCTTTCAATCATTTTAAAGGCATTTAAAAGTAATTTCAGTTTCAAGTACTTAGAACAAAAAATTACCAGTATCTTGTCTCTTACCTAACACAGAGACAACACCCCTCCCCCACACAGATGCACAATCTTCTCTTCTAGACATCAAGTTTCAGTATGCTGCTCAGGCTAACCTTAAGATTCTGGAGTCAAGTCATTCTCCTGCCTCATCCTTCCAAGTAGTCAGGACTTGGACCTAGCTGTTGCAACAACTATGGGTAATGACTTATCTATATTCTTTTTCTAAAACATTCAGCATTAAGTTTCATAAAAATATTTTTCATACAAGTTTATCATTGGAACATACAATTGTAAAAATACATAATTATAGTTTCACAAGTAAGTGGAATAAAAAAATTGATAACAAACAACTTAGTAACCTAACTCAACAAGTTAACTGAGACATGTAGGGTATATCTGAATAATCAAATAACTGTTTTTATTTTATGTACATTCCAGGCATCATCCGGTATGATTAAGTCTCAATCTGGTTATGAGTTAAATAGAGGCTTGTCAGAAGAACTTCTTAAATACATAACAGAAGCATATAAACCAGCATTGAGTTAGGCTGAAAGTATTTATTAACTTGTAAGAGACATTTCCTGTTCGAAGCTGTGGATCCTATATATTTGTTACCATTTGAAAAAGTGAAGAGAGTTAGGTGCCATGATTCACGGAGTCATTCTGCAAATTCAAACCCAGTATCTGTCTCTTCTATCCCATTACACATCAAGACTAGAATATAAACAAACAGACCATTTCATAGGGAAAACGGCACTAGAAAAGGATTGAGTCTGTGTGTAAATTTGGTAAGAGGCACATCTTTAGAGCCTGGGGGCTTAGTGTGTAGCTGAGTCTTAAGGACTTTTTGGTGTTGATGTTCCCATTTTTCTGAGACAGGCCTTTGCTATGTAGCCCTCAACTATGTACCCCGATTGGCCTGGAACTCCCAACTAGACAAGTTAGGCTTTGAAATTATGGTGATCCTCCTGCCTGAGTGCTGAAATTACAAATGTGTACCATCACATGGGGCCTTAAAGCATTTGCCATGTGTAGAAGAGGCCTTTGGTTTAATCCTCAGCACTGGGAAAAAAAACAGCTACTGGGCGGCTTGTTCACCCTTCTGACATGGGGTCCTCGTGGTCGGGGAATGCCGAGCTTCCTGGGTCTTCATCCATAGCTGCCCCCGCGAACCCACCCGCGAAAGCCTCCGCGCCGGCCTCCCTCGCACAGGACTCTGCTTTTAAAAACTGCTGGAGCTGTCACTTGCTTTCTGGGTCTGCGCTCTTGGGGGCGGGCACCTACGTCTACCTGCTGGCCAGGAGGCCCATGAAGCAGGGAATGCCGCCGAATCCAGGCGCCATAGCGCAGATGGTCGTCGGCATCAGTATTGCCTGCTGGGGTGTAGTTGTCCTGGCAGACCCCAGAGGGAAGTCCTACCGAGTTGTTTGAAAGCACCAGCAGTTAACAGCTGCAAGGCAGAAAAAAACCAGCCTTGTGGTGGTGGATATTCTTAGCAGCCATGGACAAGGATGCACTTCATTATAGGACATACTGAGAAGACTGTGACAACATGAGCTGTCATTCTTTGGCCATGGATGTTTATGGTTTTCTCCCCTCAGGTTATAAAGGGACAAATAAATCCCCTGGAAGCAAAAATGTCTTGTCCAGGAAGGTTGTGTGTAATTCAAATTATACTGAAAGATGACAGTTTTAAGAAGTTATTAAAATGGAGTAAATGATAGGCAAATAATGAAATAAAATTTTATTATGATAAAAAAAAAACAGCTACTAAGTATAATGTTCACTGCCTAAAATCCAATGGACATCAGACAGAAGGAAAAGTTTCTTACAGCATTAGACTATTAGGCAAGTTATCACACACACATGACATACCTATCATACACACACACAATAAACAAACAAAACAGAAAGAAACTCATACAGATTTTTGTTTTAAAAAGTTACCTAGCAGGGTGGTGGTGGTGCACACCCTGCACTCAGGAGGCAGAGGCAGGCAAATCTATGTGAGTGTGAGGCCAGCCGGGTCTACACAGTGAGTTCTAGGATAGCCAGGGCTACACAGTGAAACTGTCTTGAAAAACAAAAACAAAAGAAAACAAGCAGTTCCCTATCTGTGTCTGTAGTGGCTGGAATGAGAATGTCCACCACAGGCTTAAGCATTTGACATTTGGGCTTCCAGCTGGTGCGGCTGTTTGGAGAGGCTGAGGAGGAGCAGTCTTGCTGGAGGAAACATGTCACTAGGGCAGGCTCTGAGAGTATATGACACTGCCCCATTTCTAGTTTGCTCTCTGCTTTGTGTTTGCAGTAAAAGATGTGTCCCTCAGCTTCCTGCTTGCAGTCACAGCTGCCCACCAAGATGGACTCTGGATCCCGAAGCCAAGATAAGCTCCACCCTAAGTTGCTTTTGGCTGTGCTGCTTTATCACAGTAGCAGAAGAGCAAATACTACTCTGTCTATTTTAAAATATTTGACAATGTCTTTGAAATACAATGAGAGAGTAGGAAGGAACATATTAAGCTGGTATGGCCACAAGCCTGTAATGGCTGATTCCATTTCCTTGTAATTGTAAACAGAGCAGCAATAAACATGGATTTGCAAATGGAGTTCTCTGGGTATATACCCAGGAGTGGCATAGCAGAGTAATATAGTAGTTTTACTTTCAATTTATTGAAAAGCTTCCAAACCGACTTCCACACTGTATTAACTTGTACTACACCAGCAGTGAAAAGGGCTGAGAATCTTTCCCTGATTCTCTCTAACATTTACTGTCAGATGTCTTGATGATAGACTGGGGTAAGGTGGTTATCTTACATTAGTTTTAATGATAGACTGGGGTGAGGTGGTATCTTACATTAGTTTTAATTTGTCTTTCCCTCATAACTAGGGATCTTGAACACTTTTTAATAGTTATTGGCCATTTGTATTTCTTCTTTTAAAAACTGACTGTTCATTTCACTAGCCCACTTGTTGACTAATAGTTTTGTTTCCTTGGTGTATAATTGAAAGTAAATTTCTTTAGAGCTGTTCATCAATATGGTAATCACTCAGCTTAAAAATAAACTGAAGAAATAAAAAAAATCAGAGTTAAGAAAGGGATTAACTAGAGACAACATATGAAATATTTATAAGTCAAAAATACTCTTTTACTTCCTTGAACAAAGAAATAGATTGTGAAAAATCAAAGTCAGTCCATGGGGTTTAGGAGGTCACAGGTGAGCACATCACAGGTGAGCACATCACTTCCCTTTACCACTGGCAACTACTTCTTTAGCTTGTGGGCTACTCGAGATCAAGTTTAAGGTACCAGGAGGGCAGTCTGCAGCACTGGCTTCAGAACACAAACTCCAAACTAAATCAAGTGTATGTCAAGAACTCCATGTCTTTCCCTGCCTATTGATGGAAGATTGTAAACAGCAGCAACTCACCACAGAGAGTTCATGCCTAGGAGAAATTCTGCTACCCAAGCCTGCCTAAGATTCAAAGATGCTGGTGGGGAAGAAAGAGCAAGTAGTTTCCAAACAGTGAGACTATGTACCTTGGATAACATAATACTTTAGTGCTACATAGCAGAAATTCAATCATCTGCAGCCAATGGAAAAGCTTTTCTATTACTCAAATCTAATCAAATTTCATGCCAGTCATAAGTGAAAACATTTTTCCTGTATAAATTTATCTCCATAGGAAGAAAGAAAAGCATAACTGGTCAAGAGAAATAGCCAGAGGAATATCAGTAACCTTATGAAGTAATCATTCATTTCTGGACAGATAGTGGAATAGTGCTTGAAATTTCCTATCACAGCTACCATTTCCAAGAAATTCTGGCCTAAAGCAGACTTAATTAGCTGAGTCTTGGTTTGTCTATAATGTCAGAAAAATCATTAGAATTTCATTTCCTTAGAAACTAGCCCTTTTAGTAGATACAGTACTACTTATAGCTTACCGGTGCTTTTCCCCAATTCCTATATATCCTAGCCTTTACTGTTGAGACTCTGAGTAACAAAGCAGTAACTAATAATCAAGTGCTATTTTAAGTGTTTGGCACATATTATCTCCTTTAAAATCCCCTAAAACTGGTCTTCCTAATTTTATAGACGTGGACACAGAAAACTGCCAAAGAAATAGTGGGGCCTATTTTAAAACCCAGCTGGGCCCAGACTTCTGTGCCCTTATCAGTGTCTTTCAGTTAGGGGAGTCTATTGAGAGCCGCTGTTAGTGCAATAACAGTCATGAGAAGTCCTAAGAAGAATGCTTTAAAACACACTCATCTTCACCTGGAGAATGGAAAGAAGGAAGGAAGGAAAGGTGGAGAAGGGAAGGAGAGAGGAAAGTGCCACGATGAACACAGAGTGTTTGTTATGGTTTAGATCTTAAATATTTCCCAAGGGCTCATGTGCTGAATGAAGAAAGGTACCAGCTGATGGTGCTTTTAGGAGGTGCCAAAACATTTAGGTGGGGGTCCTGGTGGAAGGAAGTGAGGTTACTGGAGGTGTGCCCTCGAAGGAGATATGAGACCCTGGACCCTCCTCTCCTTACATTCTGGCCGCCGGCAAAATGACCACCTTGCCTCTGCCATGTCTTCTCCACGATGTCGTGTCACAGGCCTAAAGCAACTGCGCCAAGTAACCAAGGACTGAGGCTCTGACACCTCTGAATGCATGAGACACAGAACACTTTTCTCCTTTAACTCTCCAGTGTCTCACAGCAGTGATGGGAGCTGACTAGTGTGGCATCACTTTAGTACATATCTACTCATTTGTGTGTGTGAGTTATGTACCCACCTCTCTTAATGGGGTCAAAATAAAGAAACCAAGAACTGGAAAGCCATTGGCCTTCATTAATATGCCATGCTACTTCCATACAAGTACGGAAAGGTCCAAAATTATTCTGTTATCAGATTGATAAACAATTTAACTCTTTCTCCTACAATATGACATACTAATAATTATTTCTAAACTAAAATGTCATGAATATGCACAATTAGATACTCTCCCTTTCTACAATGTGAACATGATTCCCAAATTGTGAACTATGGTATGTCAGGGACCTCACAAGTTACTGCAGAATATTTTAAAAGTTGGGCAAAACACAGTGATAGGTCAGATAATGTACAAATTACCAGTTCAATGTGGGACTATGCTACATTATTCTATCTTTGTGGAGTTTTCTATAGCTGCTGTAGGTTTAGATTTGTTTGGGCTGCTATAGCAAAGATCAACTGTGGTGGCTGAAAATGTAGTTCTGTGGTATAGTGCTTCCCTAGTGTTCCCAAGACCCTAGGTTTAATCTCTAGGACCACAATTCAAATTTAAAAGGCCCAGGAAGATTATAAGTAACAAAAATGGTTTGTAGTTCAGGAAGTGGGGAAGTGTAAGATCAGGGACTGGCACACTGGTTCATGACAGCTACCTTCTTGCTGTTTTTCTCACATGATGAAAGGGATAAACAGATTTTGTGAGTTCTTTTGTAAGGAACAAATCCCATTCATGGGCTTTTCATCAACATGATCCCTTGTAGAAGCCCTTTCTTATTACTAAAACTTCAGGGATGAAGATTGCAATAGAATTGCTTCAGGGATACAGACATTCTGATTGTAGAAATAGGATTTATAAGTTCATTCCACATTGAACAAAACTCAGTGTGGATCAAGAAATAAGAGTTCGCCGGGCGGTGGTGGCGCACGCCTTTAATCCCAGCACTCGGGAGGCAGAGGCAGGTGGATCTCTGCGAGTTCCAGGTCAGCCTAGGCTACAGAGTGAGTTCCAGGACAGGCTCCAAAGCTACACAGAGAAACCCTGTCTCAAAAAACAACAACCACCACCAAAAAAAAAAGAGAAAAGAAATAAGTGTTCAATATGAGGCATAGGCTTGAAAACGATGCAGTATTCAATAAGCACTTACCCAAGTAGTAATTATTTAAAATGAAAGGATTTTCCTTCAATATATTATTAATATGAATCTCCTTATTTTGACATGATTATGAAATTGCTAGGACATATTTAAAATGTAAGAGTCTAAGTGCTGTTAGGAAATGTTTGGTATTTATTTTGGCCAAGGAATCATGAGAACTTTGCTGACTGCTGGAACCAAGTTTTTGGAAACCTGTATTCTTAATACAAAAACATGGTTTTCCGTTAGCAAATAATATGACAAAGTGAAGAAATTTCAAGTATTGTAACTGTGAACCTAGACTGTGAAGAGCATGAGTTTTTAATAAAATGTCCTCACTTTAATATAACTGCTCCTAACCCTCCCCACATACACACACACTTTTCTACCCTGGATCTTTATCTGTTGCCACTCTGCTGCAAAATTCTAACATCCCAGGGGAATTTGCTTATGAAACAATCACTACTACTCACACAACAATCCTACAGCTAAAGAAGGAAACACAATCTCAACCAAAAACCCTACACTTCAACAGCTGCTCAGTCTCATAGTGTCTCTATCCCTGTCAGAGACTAGGATACTGCTGAAAAGCAATCCTGCTACTTTTACTGCACTTAAACAAAGCCGACCCCCACACAATGACCATACACAACAATGATCTTTGAGATTTATCTCCTGATGTTCTAAGTCTTGCTTTCAGTGTTGAGGTGAGATTTATTATAGTGAACCAAATTGCCTGGGTTCATACTTCATCGTATCTATAATAGAACACAGAAA